GGCAGTACATGTCCATATCTGTCAGCTCACTGGACACGTGATGATTGAAATCCATTAAAATGAAGTTCAAGAATAATCAAAATAAACCAATGGTAAAAAACTCAGAACAGTACTGACCTCTGGGTAAGAGACAAAAGGAAACTTCCTGGATTACTAGAAGTTTACATAAAATATGTAAAGAACCATATAACTATACTCTTAAAATGAGGGCACCTTAATACTTTACTGTGGATATAAGACTTCAGATTTTATTACTTATTTATTTATTTTAAGATTTAGTTATTTCTCTGAATGGCAGAGTTACAAAGAGAGGGAGAGACAGAGAGATCTTTCATCCACTGTTTCACTCCCCAAACGGTGGCAATAGCCAGGGCTGGACCAGGGTGAGGCTGAAGCGAGGAGTTTGAGCCACTCTCTGCTGCCTTCCCAGGTGCACCAGCAGGGAGCTAGGTCAGAAGTGGAGAAGCCAGGACTCAAAATGAGGTGCTCATTTGGGATACCAGCATTGTAGGCAGTGGTCTGACCTGCTGTGCCATAATTCCAACCCCTTTAAAGAGGTATTCATTTATTTGAAAGGCAGAGTTACAGTGGGAGGAGAGACAGAGATCTTCCATATGCTGGTTCACTCCCCAAATGACTGTAATAGCCAGGACTGGACCAGCTCTCTGCTATGGCCTGGGAAAGCAGTAGAAGATGGCCCAGGTCCTCGGGCCCCTGCACCCACATGGGAGACCCAGAAGAAGCTCCTGGCTCCTGGCTTCGGATTGGTGCAGCTCTGGCCACTGCGGCCATCTGGGGAGTGAACCATCCGCTGGAAGACCTCTCTCTCTCTCTCTCTCTTTCTCTGCCTCTCCTCTCTCTGTGTAACTCTGACTTTCAAATAAATAAATAAAGGATTTCCATTATACTGGCCAACCAAGAATCCTGGCTATGTTGTAAAAATGGGCTTTAACTTCACTCACAGGATTTCAACAAGGCATCTATGCACCTGGACACATTAGTGCAGGTTGAATATCCCTTATCTGAAATACTGAGGACCTGAAGTGTTCTGCATTTCATTTTTTTTTATTTTGGAATATTTGCATACATATGATGAAATAATTTGGGGAGGGGATCCAAGTCTAAGCATGAAATCCATTTGTTTCATGTACACCTCATCTACATAGCCTAAAGATAATTTTATACAATATTTTTAATAATTTTGGTCACAGAAAAAGCTTTGAGGTTCTGGATTTCCCACTTGTTGGCATCGTGTCAGTGCTCACCACGTGTGGGGTTTTGGAGTGTCTCACATGAGGGACGTCCTACCCACAACGTGAATCAGAAACTAACAGTTCAAGCTCAGGCTACGACTGCAGCAGCGAATACTTAGAAGAGCAGACTACAGAGATGAGACCCTTGAAACTGATGGAGGTTGCCCTGAGACGCCAGAAGGCTGTTTCAGAATCTGGCCTAATTATAAAACCTGTAAGGAGTAGAAAAGCCTCTCTCTCAATGCCGCCACCTTTCACCCCCTCCCCTCTCACCCCAGCAGAGGCTCGGACTGCAGGTGGAGGAGGAGAAATGAACACTTTCAAGGTTCTTCCTCCTGACGCCAGAGGCCCACCACAGGTTACGGAGAAAACCCCCATTACGCTGGTGTCGTCTGCCTACGGTTTACCTCTCGCCCGGCTCTGGCAACCCCGAGGGCACACGCGGACAGAGTTCAGAGGCTGCGCTACTGGATCCCATAGTGCTGTAACATTCACACTGACGGCCTGTATGGGTGCTTTATCTGGGATGTTCCAGATACCAATCCAAGACCAAGGCAGACACATACAGTGTGTCTTTCTTCAAACAGTGGAGAAAAACATTTTTTTCTTTTAAAATTCACTCTCATTACATTCTCCTTTTGCTGATGAAAGATTTTAAACGGTCAGCAATTTAGGTCTTATCTTTAGGCAGAACCATCACCTACAAATTACGAAATTAAAGACTCTTTGTGTAGAAACGGCTCACGACTAGGTGGAACTGCTGGAAGCCTTCTGAAACGCTAGTCCTACAGTCCAAAGGCTGTTCTGTTTTCCAGAAGCTTCCCCTAGCGGGCAAGGAGTAAGACTTGCAACTTCTATTGGATCTCACGGACAAACCAGCCTGACTGCAGCTAGATCATCTCTCCTTCCACCACAGCTGAATGCTGGGGGGCAGACAATGGAATTACTAGTAAGCCTGGACAGACATCAGGACACAGGTGCCTGGCAAGTGTGGATCCAACTTAGAGGAGGGAAGAAGTGCAGGTCAGTGTGGCACCATTATTACACCACACTATGAACCACTAAGCTGCACAAGTCCCACACAGCACACACAGGATGAGGACCCCCCACCCACCAGAGCCTGTCTCTGAGGATGCCAGCTGGCGGCCAGCTGTGGTGCAAACGGATACTGTGCATCACCTGAGCCTGGTTTGCCTTATTTAAGGCTTATAGCATTACTCAGTGTTGCTGTCAATGGTTACGTCTGTGGAACACAGATTAAAGAAATGAATCTCTTGGGGTTGGTGCTGTGGTATAATTGGTAAAGCTGCCGCCAGCAGTGCCCGTATCCCATATGGGCACCCGTTCGAGCCCTGGCTACTCCACTTCTGATCCAGCTCTCTACTGTGGCCTGGGAAAGCAGTGGAGGATAAGCCAAGTGCTTGGGCCCCTGCACCCACATGGGAGACCCAGAGTAAGCTCCTGGCTCCTGCCTTCGAATTGGTGCAGCTCCAGCTGTTGCGGCCATCTGGGAAGTGAACCAGCGGATGGAAGACCTCTCTCTATATATAACTCTAACTTTCAAATAAAGAAAGAAATGAATCTCTACTCGATTCTACATCTCATGATGCAGAACAATGTCCCACCTCCTAACCTGATATCGATACTTAATAAATAGTAAATAACAAAACATTTCTTTAATTTTTTAAAATTATTATTTGAGGCCGGCGCCGCGGCTCACTAGGCTAATCCTCCACCTAGCAGCGCCGGCACACCAGGTTCTAGTCCCGGTTGGGGCGCCGGATTCTGTCCCGGTTGCCCCTCTTCCAGACCAGCTCTCTGCTGTGGCCAGGGAGTGCAGTGGAGGATGGCCCAGGTGCTTGTGCCCTGCACCCCATGGGAGACCAGGAAAAGCACCTGGCTCCTGGCTCCTGCCATCGGATCAGCGCGGTGCGCCGGCCGCAGCGCGCCAGCCGCGGCGGCCATTGGAGGGTGAACCAACGGCAAAGGAAGACCTTTCTCTCTGTCTCTCTCTCTCACTGTCCACTCTGCCTGTCAAAAAATAAAAAAATAAAAAATAAAAAAAATTATTATTTGAGAGGAAGACACACCACATACATAGAAGAGAGAGAGAGGGAGAGAGAGAGGGGCAGACAGAGAGAATGCTCCCATCAGCTGGTTCAGTCATCAAATACTCACAATGGCTAGTGCTGGGCTAGGAACAAAGCTAGGAGTCGGGAACTCTGTCAAGGTCTCCCGTGTGGTGGCAATGACCCAGCTGAGCCATCACTACTACCTCCTAGGGTCTGCGTTAGCAGGAAACTGGAGTGAGGTATTGAACCCAGGTACTCCAATGTGGGATGTGGGCATCTTAACCAATATCTTAACCACTCAGCTAACCACCTGCCCTTTTAATATTTTACAGAAATTTTTTGAAAGATATGTACCCTCATGCTTACTGCAGTTTAATTCATAACAACTAAGATATGGAATCGATCCAGATGTCCATCAACTGAAAACTGGAAAAAAAATATGGTATATACATATGGAATAATACACAGCAGTTAAAAAAAAAAAACTACGAAATCCTGTCGTTTGCAATAAAATGGATCCAGCTGGAAACCATAATACTTGGTGAAATAAGCCAGTCCACAAAAGACAAATACCATATGTTCTCCCTGATCTGTGGTAACTAATAGAGCACCTAAAAGGTAATCTATAGGAGTGCAACTGACACTTTGAGATGGGATGACTTTGAACAGTCCTTGTCTTGCCTGTTAAGGAAGAGTGTTTTTTAATTCTTCATACTACTTGTTGAACTGTTTACTTAGTGTAGGGTAAATCTTATGAGTATAAAGTCAACTGAAAATAGATCTTTATAAAAAATAAGAATGGGAATAGGAGAGGGTGGAGGCATGGACGGGAGGGAGAACAGGGTGGAAAGTATCAATATATACAGTTCCTGAACCTGTATATATGAAATACATGAAACTTGTATTCCTTATATAAAATTTTAAATAAAGAAATTCGTATCTTTTTCATTTGAGCAAAATTAAAAATTTACTGAACCCTAGTTATATGGCAAGCATGATTATCCAAGTGTTTCCTTATACAATCCTGACGGAAGCCTCCCGAGCAGGTGCTGTGAATTTCCTCACTTTACACAAGGCCTCCGAGGAAGGAGCCCTCCTGTGAATGCACAGCCAGTAAGACGCAGTTTCAGACGGGAACCCAGGCAGGCTGCTGGGACCACTGCTCCCCGCTGGCGCAGCCTGCAGCCTCTCCCTTCAAGCTGCTGGTACAATTTTTAGCAGCTCGACGATCCAGGACAAACTGCTGCAGGTGTCTGAGCCACAGCTTCCTCGCCAATGAAATGGGTCTCTACAAAGCTCTGCATCTTCACAGTGAGCTTTGGGACAATGAGACGAGACCCCCGTGCACACACTCAGCAGCCAGCACCCTGCCTCCTCCGTGACATTCCTGTCCCTGCGCTTACTGCTGCCCGGCAACTGCTCACCCCACTCCACTGAACTCTGTGGTCCGCCCTGGCTCCGAGGAAGGACACTACACTGTTGGTGGGAAAACGGACCCTGTTGCAGCCCATCTCATAGTGAGCGCCTGGATATTTTGAACAGGGACGGACTTATCTGAGCCCCTAAATGGCCCCTGCCATGCTGGTATACCACGCCTCCCGGGGCCACAGACGTGGGCTTCAATGTCACTCTGTGGCCACACCCTGTCCCAGACAGATGGAACAAGAACACTCACCTAGTGCCCTCACGACTCGCATCAGCACCTCCCCGACTTTCAGTCTGGTCTCCGGTGTGTGCTTGTCCTGGCCACTGTCATACTGAGCCAGCAGGTCAACCAAGATCTTCTCCGGGTACACATCTGAGAGCAGGGCAACACCTGGGTTTTGGGGGGAAAATGACATATTACTGTTTAGGATTAAAAGGTGAATAGACCTAGACATCCTGTGATGGAATGAACAGACATATTTATTATTATTTTTATTTATTTGAAAAGCAGAGGGAGAGAGACATCGTCCTTCATCTACTGGTTTACTCCCCAAATACCTAGAGCAGCTGGGACAGGGTCAGGTCAAAGTCAGGAGCCTGGAACTCAATCTGGGTCTCCTACCTGGGTGGCAGGGACCCAAGTACTTGGGCCATCACCTGCCTTTTCCCAGGGCACCTGTTAGCTGAAATGAGAAGCAGCGCCAGGACTGGCACCCAGGCATTCTGTATACGGGATGCAGGTATCCTACGTGGCATCTGTGCCAAACTCCTACCCCTGAACAGAGACCTTTAGAAACCACCAGCAAGGGCTGCCCTTTATTTGGGGAGACCACATAGTGCAAAGAACATGGTCTGGGGGTTCCGGCTTTGGATTCGTCCAGTCCCATCACGGTGTGATCTCTAAGGGCCCATCCTGCACTGCTGTTTCTTGCTCTGCGGACTTCGGACACATGGAGCAGAGGCCGGCTGCCCCACGTCGGGGCAGGCACGCACTGAGCAGCAGGAGAAGGCCAGGGGATGCCCCCGGGGGCCCTCCTGATTCTGAGACGCCAAGGTTCCAGGCCGACACGTCCGCCTGAAGCCAGCAGTGCTCCTGCCTTTGCTGCAGTCCCCCACTCCAGCATCAGCTCGCTCTCTCTGCAAGACTAAAGGACTTCAAAACGCTCATGCAAAATAGAATTAAAACATGTTTATTTGGGGGTAAGCATCTAATCTAAGATGCCTGCATTCCACATAGGAGTGTCTGGGTTTGAGTCCACTCCCAATTGCAGCTTCCAGCTTATGTGCACCCTACGAGGCAGCAGGGGCTAGCTCAGTAATTGAATTACTGCCACCCGTTTGGAGGACCCAGATTGAGTTCCCAGCTCCTGGTTTCATTACACCCCTCCTTCCCAGCATTCGGGGAGTGAGTCAGTCAGTTGATGGAAGCTCTTTATCTGCCTCTCAAATAAACAAACATTAAAAATCTTTATTTGTTGCCAAAAAAAAAAAATCTTTGAAATCCATGCATATGAGGAGTCTTCAAAATGTTCATGGAAAAAGCGTACTGTGAAAAAACTACAGGTGGATTTCAAAAATTTCTTGCACCAAAATAAACTTATCTTGTAGTTCCACTTTTCCATGAACTCTAAAATCCCCTGTACTAATGACGGGAGCAACTTCCACAAGGAAACACTTCCCCAGCATTCTGGGCTCCATCAGCGTTAGACCCAGGCTGGTGACCCAGATCCTGGATCAGCAGAAGCAGGGTTGATGCTGCCCCTTCGCCCTCCTTCCGAGGACTCTCTGCTCTCTCTTCCACATCATAGGAAGGGAAGAGGAAGGCCAGGGCCTCTCCCCCTGCTGTCACCTGAGCCAGCTTTCCAGGGATGGTGAAGATGGGAGAGAATAAAGGACCTGCTCCCCAGACCAAACACAAATCCTACGCGGCAGGGGAGAAAAGGGTTACACATTTCTAAGGGACAGCGAGGAAAGACAAGGAAGAAGCAAACTAGAAAGGAAACGGGTTTCAGGATACGAGCATGTCCAGGAGGTGAACGCTTCTCTCCACCTCCAGCTCCACCACCTCAGGCCCTCATCGCTGGTCTGGATTTCTCAATAATCCTCAGCTGGTTGGATGCATCTCTCCTTTTCCCTGACTGCAGCAGGAATGGTACAGTTTAACACACAAGTCAGACCCCTTCATTCCTCTGCCCAATGCCTCAACCATTTCCCTTCTCCCCTAAACAGCAGCAGCTCCCGTCTCCCGCCTGCCTTGGTTCTTCTGACCCCACCTTTCACACACACACACACACACACACAAATGTATGTGTGTGCATGCACACAGACACACACATGCACACACACACTCACACTCATCCTCCAGCAACTCTGGCCATCTTGCTACCTTGCTGTTCTTCAAGTAACCAGCCTGCTCCTGGTCCAGCCTCTCTGCTTTACTTCCCCTCTCTCTCAGCTGCCCCTCCTCCAGGCAGCCCTAAAGCTGGCTCCCAGACCCCATGCTGTCTCTGTTCTCAGCTCACCTGGATCACCGAGGAAATGACCACTTCCTTCCTCTACCAGTCTGTCCCTCTCACTCTGCCTCACTTGTCTTCCTAGCACTAAACACCATCTGATATACTCTCTACTGCTTTCTATATTGTCTGCTCTCTTCCTTGGAACTCTGCAAAATCAGGATGTTGTTTTATTCTCTGCTACATCTCCTCAGTGCCTAAGAGTGCCAGCACATGGCAGGTGCTCAAGAACTATCTGTGGTTGGGGCATGCATTGTGGAACAGAGGTTAAGCCACCACTTCCGACAGCAGCATCTCCTATGGGAGTGCTGGTTTGGATTCCGGCTGCTCTGCTTCCAATCCAGCTGCCTACTAATGTACTTGGCAGATAGCAAATGATGGTCCAAGGGTTTGGGCCCCTGCCACCCATGTGGGAGACCAGGATGGAGTTCCTGGCTTTAGCCTAGCCCATACCTGGCTGTTGTGGGCATTTGGGCAAGATGGAAGATCTCCATCTCTCCCTCTCTGTTACTATTCCTTTCAAATAAATCAAACAACGATTTGTTGAATGAGTGAATGAGTAAAAGGGTTCAAGTATACAGTTGTGATATAAAGTTCAGGAATTAAGAAAGACAGAATGGGGAAGGAGTACTATAAATGCTTGGGAAATCTGTAATTATTTTCCATCTGAACTTACTATTCTCCTGTTTAAATGGCAAATCCTTTTTTTTTTTATGCTACGTGTTGTGGTTTCATTCTCATATAAACTACGTGCATGCTCTCTCCACTCCTTAGGCATAGCATCTGGTGAGTGGTAAAGGTGGTGCACCTGTGGAGGGCTGCGCCTGTATGCCCATCCCCTTTTCTGTCCTCCCTACCCCCACCACGCTTTGCTTTCAAAGAGCCTGAGATGTCTCTGCATGTGGTCCTAAGCCACGTCTCCCTTTATGTGGCTCCAGGTTTATAGACAGAAGCTCTGCTCTTAGAGTTCCAGGCTGTGGCAGAACTTGAATTGGAGAGTTCCCTGTTGGAAACCATGACATTCAGTGTAGGCCACTGTACTGTTTCAAATGATGGAGAAGTCCTTGAAGGGCCAAGGTGGAGTCAGAGAACATTCCAGCATAGGGGAAAAGTGTCTGTGGCTTAATACAAGGGTAAATGCATTGTTTGCTAGGAGAGAGAAAAGAAACAGCATCTCAAAGAGCAGTGACTTGGGAGATGCGAACTGAGGTGCTGCACTGCGGATAGATCACAAGGCCTAGTGCACGTTATCAATCAGCAGCTGTCACAACCACATTTTCATCACAAGTTTCCAACTCAGAAATCTGGTGGATTTATTTCCTTTTTAGGAATATACTAGGGTACTTCAAAAAGCTCACTAAAAATGGAATTATAAGTTTATTTTGCTGCAAAGAAACCAAAATCTATGTCCATGAGGGAATCTTTAAAGAGTTCACGGACAATGCCTATTATGAAACAACCACGCATGGATTTCTAAATTATTTTCACCAAAATAAACTTGCTTTTTGATTCCATTATCCTACAGAGAGTACCCTCATAGCTGTGACTTTATGATGGAAAACTTGTAACACGGGATTTGCTCTGTAATCCCTTGATCTGTACCCAGCTTTCCTGAGATTCACCTATAAAGCCGCCCCCACCCCCGCTGTTGTTTGTTCCCCTGTCCCTCGTTAGTCTGGCTGAGGACAGCTGTTCACTTCTGGGAACAGATTTCCTGGCCACATGAGCTCTCTCTGCGGTGGACGGACACGGGGTTGTGCACAGCATCAACCCTTTCTTCCGGCAACGACACCCGGCTGTCCCTGCTCACAGTCGGCGTGGTTTCTGTGGGCCACCCACCCATGCGCTCTCCTTCCATGCGGGAACTCAACCCCGGGCTAGCTAAAGGGGTATTCCATCTCCTCCTCACTACTGGTCCAAGAACAGTTATTGAGTTTCCATCCTGGAACGCCCCCTAACTACTGGGAAAGATAAGCTTTTCCTTGGAGTTGGCACTGGTCACGTGGAAAAAGCCCACCCAAGAGTGGTGTCAACACAAAGAGGAGACAAGCAAGAGGGGGAGCAGCCTTGGAGCCCCAGGTCCAGCTGTATTCTGCCCACTGCAATCTTGGAACACACAAGCCAGTAACACTGCCCTATTATGCTAGCTTGATTTGTTTCCCTCACCAAAGGAATCCAAACATGGATCAAACAATTGTTATTTTCTGCTTTTCCTAGAAGGCCAAACTTTTGACCCCATCAGGTAGCTTTAGGTCCTGCTAATCTTTCACGAGAAGGCTGCCGATAGCCAACTGGGGCTTCCTTGCTTCCCGGGTCCCAGGCATCCTGCTGGTCCACTGCACAGGGTGGGGTTTACTTTCTAGGGTGCTGCTGGCAAACCCCTGCAGGAGGGCATCACACGCTGCTCACCAAGCAGCAGAGACAGTCACCTACGATGGACGGCCAAGACTGCCTATCAGTGAGAGGGGTGCGGTTTTCTGTGTGGCTCTTTTGGCTGTTTTTTGGGAAAGTTTTCTGAACTCTGACATAAAGAGGAAGCTTGGCCATAGCCCTCATATGACCCTGAGCCCCTCACACTTGATCATCGCTTTGTAACTTGAAACTGGAATGATTTCGGGGCCAGCACTGGCTTCAAGGAAACGTGACACATCAATTCCTTTGGCAATAAGAAGCGAACGATGGGGTGAGAGGTGCGTCCTGCCCTGATCGCAGGAGAACGACGAGGTTTCAGGATGTGGTGAACAGATGAGAGACCCAGAGGGTGAAGGTGCACCCCAAGCGTCCATGAAAGCATTCGGACCTGTGTTCTGGGGAGAATTAACTGAAAAAAATATTATGGAAAGTACTTCATGTCATAATGCAGTCAGCTTGGAAACTG